CGCCCAATGGTGCCCAAGGGGGCCCCCGAGATCGCCAGCGGGCTCCGCAGAAAAGCTCCTCCTCGGATTCCTGATCCTGTTCGTCCCCCCTGCCCGCATCAATTCTGCTCCTCCTCCTCCCCCTCCTCCTCCTCCTCCTCCTCCTCCACCTCCTCCTCCTCCTCCTCCTCCCCGTCCTCTCCTCCTCTTCCTCCTCCTCCTCCTCCTCCTCCTCCTCCTCCTCCTCCTCCTCATACTCCTCCTTCTCCCCCTCATCGTCATCATCATCGCCCTCGTCGTCATGAAGCATCCACCTCTCCCCCTGGTGCTCCTCCTCTGACTCCTCACTATCCCAGTCGCCCCACGCTCCTCCTCGTCCTCGTCCTGGAGTAAGACGAGCCCAAAGCAGCCGAGGACGGCCCCAAGGGAGCCCCGAGCGGCCTCACTGTCATCATTATCATCAACAGCAGCGGCGTCATCAACGTCATGCGCAGATTCGCCGCATTGTGGCAATCGTCTTTATAATCCTCGTCCTCGTCATCATCATCGTCATTGTCATCATGATAATCGGCAGCGGCAGCGGCATCACCAACGTCATGTTCATGATGATCAGGTTCGCCGCCGTTGTGGCAATCGTCGTTATCACCATCATCATCATCATCATCATCGTCACCATCATCGTCATCAACGTCCGTACTTTTACCAACGTCACCACCGTCATCATCGTCATCACCTTCATCATCATCATCACCATCACCGTCACATTCATCATCATGATCAGCATCATCGCCATCATCATCATCGTCACCGCCACCACCATCATCATCAGCATCATCAGCACCTTCCTCATCACCATCGCCCCCTCGTCCGCCAAAATCCTCCTCCTCCTCCTCCTCATCCTCCTCCTCCTCCTCCTCCTCCTCCCTCTGTTGCTCTCAAGCCCTGTTCCTCTTCCTTATCCTCATCCTCCCCAACGTCGGCAGCATCGTCATCTTCACACTGATTCCGCTCATCCTCGTCCTCGTCCTGCTCCTCCTCATCCTCCCCCTCGTCTTTCCACGGTGCGGTGCCCGAGACGACGACAGCGACGACAACGACGGCGGCGGCGGCGGCTTCGGCGGCGGCGGCCGCGGCGGCGGCGAGAGCCCCCGTGGCTCCCAGTGCTCCCCGCGACGAGCGGGCGGCGTCCCCGCCAGCGCCGAGCCGGCGGCGACGACGCGACGACCACGATGGCGATGACGATGACCACGACGACAACTACGACGACCAATGGCGACGACGTCGACGACGGCGACGACTAACGACGACGACGACTAACGACGACGAAAGACGCCCTCGTTCTTCCACCTTCCCTCTCGCTCTCGTCCTCCACCTCCCCCGCTCCTCCTCCTCCTCCTCCTCCTCCGCCTCCTCCGTCGTCATCATCGTCATCACCGTCGTCGCCATCATCCTCGTCGCCGTCGTCGCCGTCGTCGTCGTCGCCATCATCATCATCATCATCATCACCATCATCATCTTCATTGCCAGCATGATCATCAGCAGCAGCAGCGGCATCACGAACGTCATGATCATGATGTTGAGGTTCGCCGCCGTTGTGGCGATCCTGGTTATCACTATCCTCATCCTCATTGTCACCATCATCGTCATCATCGTCAGTACTATTACCAACGTTACCGTCGTCATCATCATCACCTTCATCATCATCATCATCATCACCTTCATCATCACCTTCATCAGCCTCATCCTCATTATCATAGCACTCATCATCTACATCATCATCATCATCATCATCATCATCGTCGACGCCACCATCATCATCATCATCATCATCATGACCATAATCACCTTCCTCATCACCATCGCCCCCTCGTCCGCCAAAATCCTCCTCCTCCTCCTCCTCTCCCTCCTCCTCCTCCTTTTCCTCCTCCTCCTCCTCCCTCTTATTGCCCTCAAGCCCTCTTCCTCTTCCTTATCCTCACCCTCCTCAACATCAGCATCATCGTCATCCTCGCACTTCTTCCGCTCATCCTCCTCCTCGTCCTGCTCCTCCTCATTGTCCTCCTCGTCTTCCCAGGGTGCGGTGCCCGAGAGACGACGACGGCGACGACGACGACGACGGCGGCGGACGACAGCAATCTCTCAGAGGCTCGCAGGAATATCTGAGAACCTGCCAGGATCTCTCAGAATCTCTCAGAATCTCTGCAGGAATCTCTCAGAGGCTCGCAGGAATCTCTCAGGAATCTTTCAGAATCTGTCAAAAGCTCTCAGAATCTTTCTTCTCAGAATCTGTCAGAATCTCTGCAGGAATCTCTCAGAGGCTCGCAGGAATCTTTCATAATCTTCCAGAATCTCTCAGAATCTATCACAGGCTCGCAGGAATCTTTCAGAATCTGCCAAAATCTCTCAGGAATCTCTCCGAATCTCTGCAGGAATCTCTCAGAGGCTCGCAGGAATCTCTCAGGAATCTCTCAGAATTTTTTGGGAGCTTTCAGAATCTCTCAGAATCTGTCAATATCCCCCCGGATCTCTGCAGGAATCTCTCAGAGGCTCGCAGGAATCTCTCAGGAATCTCTCAGAGTTTGTCAGAAGCTCTCAGAATCTCTCAGAATCTTTGCAGGAATCTCTCAGAGGCTCGCAGGAATCTCTCAGGAATCTTTCAGAGGCAGAAGTTCTCATAATCTCTCAGGTTCTCTCCGTATCTCTCAGGATCTCTCAGAATCTCTCAGAATCATTCAGAATCTCTCTGAATCTCTCAGAATCTCTTAGAATCTCTCAGGATCTCTCAGGATCTGTCAGACTCTCTCAGGATCTCTCAGAATCTCTAAGGATCTTTCAGAATCTCACAGAATCACTCAGGATCTCTTAGAATCTCGCAGAATCTCTCAGAGGCTCGCAGTGGCTCTCAGAACCGTGCAGCGGTTGGAGCTTGTCAGAGGCTCCAAAGTGGTTGGGATCTCACGCGTCCCACGTGTCCTTGACGGTTGGGATCTGAAGCGTCCGGTTGGGATCTCACGCGTCCGGTTGGGATCTGAACCTTTCTCGTCTGCCCCCGCGGGTGCAGGACTTGGCACCGAACATGAAACTATGTTCACGTGCTTCCACTGTCACGCGCATCAGAATTGTTGTCGCTTCGCGAATCCCCACCAGCCCATCCAGAAACGATGCCCAGAGGAATTGCCTCGATCAGAGAAGTGGGCAGCACACAGAGGAAGCCATTATGAGACATCTTGGGATATCTTGAGCCATCTTGGAGGTCATTTTGGGCTCTCCCAGACGCTCTTGGAGTCATCTTAATCCGTGCCCCCCCCCAAGAGGCCTCCATGTGGCTAAAACCTGTGTAGAATCAATGATTAGGCATTCTCGCCGAGGCCTCTTGGAGCATCTTGGGTGCATCTGGGGGGGCTCTTGGGGCCTCTTGGGGGTCTCTTGGGGGCCTCCGGGGGGCCTCTTGGGGGCCTCTTGGGGCCATTTTGGGGCCATCTTGGGACCTCTTGGGGCTTCCTGGGCGCTTCTTGGGGCCATCTTGGAGGAGATCGATCAAACAAGAGGGGGGGTTTAATTAGCGTCCCCCCTCGGAAGCCCCTAAAATCGCCTCTTGGACCCCTCTTGGAACGCTCTTGGAGTGCTCTTGGGCGCTCTTGGGGCCGTCTTGGGGCTCTTTTGGGGCTCTCTTGGGGCCCTCTTGGGCCATCTTGGAACCATCTCCAGGCCTCGGATGGCCATCGGAAGCGAAAAGGCGAGAAAGCAAAAATCATTGATTTTCCTTAGGTTTTGGGACGATTTTGGCCTCTTCGGGGCCTCCTTGGGGAGCTGTTTGGCCACTTGGAGTTATCTTGGGGCCGTCTTTGGGCTTCTTGGAACCATCTTAGGAGCCATCTCGAGCGATCTTGCGCTATCTTGAGCCATCTTGGAGCTCATCTTGGGTTCTCTGAGGCGCTCTTGGAGCCGTCTTGGGCCATCTGGGACGCTCTAACTACCCGCGGCCCCCCCCGTCCAGGTCCAGGGGAGGGGGTAGGGGGAGGGGTAAACCCCTCCCCAAGGGGGAAGAGGGAGGGGTGGAAGAGGATCTGCTCTAACTGTCACGCGCATCAGAATTCAGCTTATTGCTCGGAGGCTGCCTTGTTTCATGCTCGCGAATGTGTTCGAAACGGTCTGCAAACGGTGGGCTGCTTTTTCTATGTTCCGACAGGCTCGTGGACCTTGTCAAGTCGGATGCGATGCCGCCGTTGCTCATGCAATTGCCCCTTGGGTATCCAGCCCTCTTGCCATGAGCTGTCCACTTTCATCTACCTGTTTGCTATTTTCTTTGGTGGTATTAGAAAGTGATTCCTGCCTTGCCTATACGAGGAGTTCACATCGATGGATGTCGCAGCGGAGCTCTTGCACTGCGTATGTCATCGCATTCGTGCGCGGGAATCAGATTACCCTGTTGTATCCCAGCGAATACTAACGCGAAGTAGACGTATTCTCCGCGCGCGTCGCCACATGCTGCCGCGCTTTGCCAATATCTTGCCGCTGCCTGTTCACTGCCGATGCCTGGCTGATCGCGTTCTCATCGAGCACGTTGAGCCCGACCGTTCATGGCAGTCCTGATCGTTGTCATCGCCGTACCAACATCCGTGCAAAGTCGTTTTCTTACGACCAGAGCCGTCCTGACCAGGTGTTCACCTTGGGCTGGGGGCCGAAAGCGGCCCCCACAGGCAGTTTCGTTTTTTGTTTCAGGCACGGCTCTCGGAAACCGAGGATCGTCCTCGGCCTCGTTCGCCCCAGAGATCCGACGTTCGGGAAGAACCATCCAGAAAAATCACCACCGCAATGCTGCTCCATTTTTCCAGGGCGGATCGATTTGTGATTGTCCCTGGCCCCGAAGTTGCGCGAAAACGCCAGGTGTGATCACATGTAACACCCGGATCTCAGGGTCGTCGTCGTCGTCGTCGTCGTCGTCGTCGTCGTCGTCGTCGTCGTCGTCGTCGTCGTCTTCGTCTTCGTGGTCACCGCCGTACCAGCTCCCCCGTGGGGAGGTCCTCCGGCTAAGGCCGACCCCGGCATCGTTGACCTGCGCGGGCAAGCGCAAGCGCGATGCCGAAGCCGCGCCGGTGGCGAGAGACACTGTGGCCGAGCGGCCCGACGCGTGAGACGGGGACCCCCGCAGGGGACTGGCGGCGCGCGGCGCCCGACAACCCAGACTCCCTCGGGTCATGCAGCGATCACGACGAGCGTTTTTTTGTTTTGCCATGTCCGGCCTCGCGGGCGCACCCAGGATCGTCACCCAAACGCCTCGGGATGAAAGGCCGGTCCCAGGGAATGGTTCTAGACCGCTTGGGGCCCACGCCATGGAAAAGAGAATCATGATGTCGGGGGTCTGGGAAGGGAGCGGCGCGAGGGGGGCGGCCTTCTGAAAAGGCGGCGGGGCTTCCAGCACGGCGGGGGCCCGCTTGGCTTCCAAGAGGTCTTCCCAGAAGCCCCCGGGACTTTCCAGAACCGCCCGTGCCTTCTCATGAGTCCCTCCGCCTTCTTAGTGAGCCGCCCCCCTCGCGCCACCCTGTGTACTGTGCCACCAGGAGGATGTGGGCCCAGAGCCACGACCCCGTACCCCTTCGCGTCGTGAAGCAAAAGTCGCGAATGTGCTTTTTAGATACTATACTCTGTGTCTCTCTCAATAGTTCTGGGGGTACCTGTAGTCCGGGCAGGGCACCTGTAGTCCGGGGGAGGGGCACCTGTAGTCCGGAGGGGTTACCATTAGTCCAGGGCGGGGTACTTGTAGTCCAGGGGAAGGGTACCTGTAGTCCCGGAGGGGTGCCTGCATTCTGGGGGGGGGGGGAACGCGTGTTCATGCGTCAACGCACGCGTGGATGTAGTCCTGTGGGGGTACCTGCTTTCCGTGGGGGGGGGCCTGTAGTCCGGGGGAGGGGTATCTGTAGGCTGGGGGAGGGGTACCCAGACATGCGATGTCCTGATTTTTTCAAGACGGCGTCCCTGGAAGTCCCGACCCCCTCCCCGGGACCAGTTTTTCGTCCTGAGTCGTTTTTGGACGGTCCCGAGGCCCGGCGAGGGCCCCCCGGGGCTGAAAATTGTCAAAACTTGCCGTCCTGATTTTTTTTCACGACGCGATCTTGTCTGGGTGCCTTTAGTCCGGGGAGGGGGTAACTGTAGCCTGGGGGGGTACCTGTCGTCCGGGGGCCCAGAGCCATGGAGGGCCACAGGGTATGCTCGGGCTCCGGGGGGCCCTCGCCGGGCCGTGGGGCCGTCAGGGAGCGGGTCCGACGAGAAGCTGGCCGCGCGGAGCGGGTCCAAGCTCGCGGCCCGGGCGCGCCCGGGAGCTCCCGGGAGCTCCCGGGACGCCTGGAAGCGCCTGGAAACGCCTGGGAGCGCCTGGGAGCGCCTGGGAGCGCCCGGGGGCGCCTGGGAGCGCTTGGGAGCACCTGGGAGCGCTTGGCAGCGCGGGGGAGCGCCTGGGAGCGCCCAGGAGCGCCTGGGAGCGCTTGGGAGCGCTTGGGGTCGCTTGGGGGCACCTCGCCACGGCTGGCTTCCCTGAGAGATGCTGGCCCGAAGGCATTTTTGGACAGGTCCAGGCGTCGGTGGTTTACCCCCGAATACGCGCAAATAGTTAGAACATAGTCGAGGGACTTGTTTTGTGTTTTTGCTGCCATGCTTGTACTTGTTTTGGCTATTTTTAATTTTTCATCGAAATTCGGCCTGTAGGGGGACAGTCCCGACCTAAAGTTATCGGCCTTCCAGGAGAGGTCGTCAAAGACAATACGGGCTGGACAGCCGGTCGAGAAAGGGTCGGTCTACCCCCTCTTGGGGTCCACACTGGGAGAAGCACACGAGGGTTTGGAGGGAGCAGCGAGGGAGGAGGAGGAGGAGGCGGAGGAGGAGGAGGAGGAGGAGGAGGAGGAGGAGGAGGAGGAGGAGGAGGAGTGGGGAGGAGGAGGGAGGAGGCGGCGAGTGTGTGTGCAGGCGCTCCGACGCGGCAGCGCTTGCGGTAGATAGTGCGCTCTCCCGTCTGCAGGGTCGAGGATCGGGGATCTCGGATGCCGTTGGGGCTTCTCTGGCGATGGCTCCCTGGCCGAGTCGCGGCACCCGGACCGCGAGGGCATGGCTAATCATGGTTGAGTCGGGCCTGACCCTCTACAGGAGGAACCTTCAAAGATAGTAAAAGAAATAGTCTGGGAACTATTTTTGGACCCCTTGCGAGCATTTTGGGGGTATTTGGTGGGTACTGTTAATCTTTCGTACAGAATCGGCCTGTAGGGGGACAGGCCCGACTTAAGGCCATGGATGTGCCCGTCTCCAGGCATCTCCAGAGGGGCCTCCGGGGGGGCCTCCGTGGGGCCTCCGTGGGGCGGGGCCGCACGGGGAGGTCTTCGCAGCCGGCGGGAGGCAACCCCCAAACAGAGCTTTCCTCGATCCTCCCGCCTGCCGTGAAGTCGGGCCTGTCCCCCTCTACAGGGGGACGATTTTTCAACCATTTTGGAGCATGTTTCGTCATCTCTTGGGGTATTCGTTATTTGTCGTCCAAAATCGGCCTGTAGGGGGACATGCCCGACCTAATCCTCCCACATGCCGCCGACGGCCACCTGTGTCAGCACTCGAGGATCGGAGGTTCAAGGACCTCCTACCCTGACACGTCGATTAGTGACTTGGCCGTTTTCGGCTCGCGAGAGGGCGTCGCGGGCGTTATTTGAAATAACGCCCGCGAGGCCATCCGTTATCGTTCATGCGTGCGGACGTTCTTGCACATTGCGTGTGGGTCGGCGAAGTGGAGTGCAGGTGTGTCTTGATTGTGCGGTTGATGATCGCGTATGTTCCCAAAAGATGACTTCTCGGCCCCCAAGACAGATTTGGAATGGGCCCCGCGATTCTCCCAAAATGTGAATTCACATTTTCCTTTTTCCCAAAATGTGAATTCACATTTTCCTTTTTCCCAAAATGTGAATTCACATTCTGGCCTCTTTCATAAAGAATCCTACACAAAATTCCAAAATGTGAATTCACATTTTCCTTTTTCCCAAAATGTGAATTCACATTTTCCTTTTTTCCAACATGTGAATTCACATTTTGCTTTTCCCCACAATGTGAATTCATATTTTGCCCTGGCCTTCAAGATCCCCAAAACTGAGGCGCAGCGTTCCGCATGTCAGATTGGCTGGGCAGCTTTCGACACTCACCTGACCGCTTTCGTGTGTTCCAGCTTTTTCTTTTTGCGCCCTTAGCGCACGTTGCCTTCGTCGCCTTTCCCGAGCCCCCCGCCCCCTTGCTTCCTTTCCCCTCGAGTCTCGCGCGCGGGCGCAGGCGGGGGGCTTCAATTAGTTCCCCCGCCGAGCACGGCAATCGAGGATGCATCGCCCATTCATGGCCTTAAGCAACATCATTGCCGGGACCCTGCGCCCGACCCCCACTTTCACCCTCCAAATTTCTGCGGGTCCAGGTCCGGCGGTTTCGGTCCCAGGCCGTTGTCGCTAAAGGGAGGTTTACTGAGGGGAGGTTTGTCCACCGCCGACAGAAAGCATTGGGACGCTCAGCAAATGGCGAGAGACGTCCCAAGACATCGCTCCTCGATCCTTCCGCCTGCCCCGATGGCGGCCTGTTTCAATAGTTGGCTCGGCAGGCCGGTCTGACGGAACACGGCAGGATCCCAGGGCGCGTCTCCCACGTGCCCCAGCCATGGCGCGTAGTTTTCTATATTCGCTGGCTTCCTCCTCATCCTCCCTTCCTTCTCCCCTCTCCTCCTCCTCCTCTCCTCCTCCTCCTCTCCTCCTCCTCCTCCTCCTCCTCCTCCTTCCTCCTCCTCCTCTCTCCTCCTCCTCCTCCTCTCCTCCTCCTCTTTCTCTTTCCCTCCTCCTCCTCCTCCTCCTCCTGCTCCTCCTCCTCCTCCTCCTCTTTCTCCTCCTGCCGCCGGCGCCGGAGGTCGAATAGGCCAGTGCGACACCCGCGACCGCCGACGCCCTCCGCACAGGGGGGGCACAGGGCTGCCGACCCGAGCAGATGCGGTGGCTGAGTGCGACAGAAGGAAGGGGCGGCACGACGATCATGGAAAAGTGGCTTCCTGCTGCGGCGCCAACTCGAGTCGTCCCCGCGGCATCGGCGTTCGGCATCGCGGCTGGTATCCCCGTGGCCGAAAGCCAGCCTAATATGGTACGCTCCCGCTGAATTATGATTCCTTCCTGCTAGTCTAGCGTCTGGCTTGGTCCTGTGCCTATTTTGGGCTACTCTGACTTGACGACCCATCTGTGTAGCTCATTAGTTTTTATCCAGAAGCGAAGTATGACATAAACGAAAAAATTGTCGGAGGTCAGCGCTGATCTCTCGGATCGGGGCTGGACCCCCCTCCCTGGCACACGGAGCGCGCTCGGGGCGGCGCTGGAGGCGGCGCTGGGGGCCCCCAGCGCCGATCGAAGGAATCCCCGCGGACATCAGAGCATGTATGCTTATATTTGTCTTGGCACCGCCCACGCATTGTTAACCTTACAGTGGAGGTCCATGCCAAGGAGCACCCTGCTTGCCTCCAGGGTGCCCTGGATTTCTTGGGCTTCGATGGGTTTTCCTGTGGGAAGCGTGACGCTCCCACACCGGAAGACGGTGGAGGCCCTGAGGTCTCAGGGTTGGGTTTCCTGTGGAAGGTTCCTTGTGGTTTGGCCCCCGCTGCAGCTGTTCTGGCACCGCCTGGACATTGTGAAAAACTTCCCTGGCATCGCTCGGACGTGTGCATGTTTTCTCGGCGAGAACCATCGAGGACCATCCTGGACCATCGAGCAACAAATAACAACAACAACAACAACAACAACAACAACAACAACAACAACAACAACAACAACAACAACAACAACAACAACAACAACAACAATCATTTTACCCGAACGCGTGGTGTTCTCCCCAGTGCCAGGGTTTTCATACGACACCAGGCAATACCCCCACTTCGTGGGGGGGCATTACAAGCTCTACCAAATATCCAAACGACTCTTCGCGACCACCCAAACCCAGCTTCCCGCCCTATGACGTTGGGACACTTCACTTCGTGGCGTGCGGACGACCGTGGCTACTACACTGGCGTGGGGTACACACCCACAGAACCCAATGGTTTTTGGAGATTTCGGCGTGCGCGCGCGAAGAAAAAACGAATGTGTCCCGCATG